ATTACAGCCCTAGGTGCCCCATGTCTCTGCAGTAGTTTCTACTTATTTTGCCTGATTGTAGCATCTTTCCCTTTGTCTCAAGTGGAGTAAAACAGATTGTTGTTCGATTTGCACATCATACACCACGAGAGTGTGGGTTGTTTGCATTTGGCTTAACGTGTTGCATAATCTCAGCCATTGTAATCTAAAAACATAGCTAATGGGTTAGGGCTAGGAACCAACTCAAGTGTGGCTTACACAACAAACCTAGAGCTACCACCTGGGCTGCAAAAATCTGGATTAGCAAAGAGATTATAGAAAGTCATAACTCTGTTCTGCCATCTAGTGATCAGCTGGAGTTTTGCAGTCCGGAACTGGTAACCGTAACAAACCATAGTTTGCATAGCTCATTTAATATATTTCAAAGATTACAAAAGGCCTTATTTCTTGTCTTGATGCCTCCTTGCCAAAAGCTTTTTACAGTTTCATCTGTTTAAGCAAGATTCTCCTAACAAAGATATTTGTGTTACTGCTGGGCTCCATCACGTGTTTAGTCACTTAGGATGAAACTAGAACATTTTTCAGTTAAGATTTAAGGACATTTTACCATCATGAGGCAGGCAATAGTATAGAAATTATAGAATTAGAGCTTAAATGCCCAAACCTTGGTCAAACTCTACCCATCTATGACCTCAGCAATTTTCTTTTTGCCTTTCCTCTTTTATAACAACACAGTAAATGAGCAGGGCTAAAAAGTAGATGGAAAGGGAAAGTCACACACCTCCCCCCTTCTTTTTTTGTTCAGTATTCTCTCAGTAGAGGTCCATAGGCAATTAATGCACTTTTTTTCTGTCCACTGAGTCCTGGAAGGGAGGCTACTGTCTCACAGAGGGCTTTCAGTGAATTTTGCTCTTCAGTGACAGGGAACAGCTTATTGTCCTTTTAAAGAGAGCAAATCCCAAGGCTGGAGACACAACAAGGAGAGAGAAATCTGCCATATCCATCAGATGCTACTAATTGGGACTTGGATGGGGCAACAGCACTTTGTGTAATGATATTCAGCACCACTTGACTTTTACAGATACCCAATGCATTGTGCACAATGGCAGCATTTTGTATGGCTTTTCTAAGACTTTACACAGCTTGGTTTTCATCAGATTGGAGGATATTAACCTGAGATTATTAATATAAGACCTGGGGTATCCAGAGGGTGGGGTTGGTCAATATGGCAAGTGCAACTGCCATCTTTACTTTTTTCACTCCTGACCCCCCACCCAACTCTGCAGATGCCCCTGAATAAGACTGCAACTGGGCATAAATGACTATGCTGTAAAGGAAATGGTAATAACAGTGTCTGGGAAAAAAAGTGACATACAAATGAAGGCTGATGCTATATAACTGTATCATACCAATGATTTGTTGAATTGCTGCTATTTACCTGGAGTAGCAAGAGCTCTCTGTTGTCCCAAGCAGAGACCTCTCTACCTCCACTGGCATTTGAGATTATTTATAGAGATGATGCTGATTGCCTGCATACGGACTAATGTTAAAAAAACATGCTGAAACATTGCTATGGCCCTGCTTACTAAAAAGCAATGCTTTATTCTAGCAACTATGGAGGCAGTGGTTGCAAAAATAGCACAACAGGGGTGCTAGAAGCCCCGGTTTGTCCATGAGTGGCAATTGTTACTTTCCTCAGTGTAAATCCATTAACAGAAACATCTCTAAATTCAATTGACAGGGGGAGCCAAGTCTTTCTTAACATCACTTTCAGAAATTACTTCTTTGACCCATGAGGAAGCCTTGAATGGGGTTGGGTGGGATGGACCCCCGACAGAACTGCTTCCTGCCTGTTTGCAGAAAGTGTTCAGTATGGGTATTTAGTATTCATTGCTTCAGTTACCCAAGGCATGGCATGAAAAATGGAATATACATGAAGACATTAAACATATCAGTAGAAACATGACAGTGAAAGTCCTTAGTGCATCTGCTGTCACTGTCTGCCATACTATCTCAACATGCCCACTGCCACAGTAAACAACCTGAGCCCAGTTAACTCCAAGATGGGGCAAGAAAAAAAGGAGGAAAAATAACCTTGTGATACTCCTGTTTTCTCCAAACCCACCACTTCCAAAATGCGTTAGAACCACAAGTCTCTGCAACATTTCAATAGTGTTGTTGCAGCAAAAAGCATGTTGTCCATCCCCATTGCTGTGTTTTTGCTCTTCATTTCCTCTCTCTCTTTTCTTCAAGAGGTGGATATAATGCCATTATGAACTTGAATGGCAAACTTTGGTGAGAAAACATTCAGCGAATGAGGAATCAGGAAGCACCGTTAGCCGTCCAAAAGGGCACTGAGGCAGATGGACGGAGAGAAACTCTTGATAACCCCATGGGGGCTATACAGCAAATATATTAAATAAACCTGAAACATAAGCAAAGAAAAAAGGCGGATTAGCATTCCATTCTGGAGAACAAATCATCCACTCATGGTGTCTAAATGAGCCAGGCATGATGTTGGCACTTCACATTTTCATATTCAGAAGATTTCTGTCCTGCCACCTGACTGCTTAATTCAAGGATTGCTTCCATATTCATTGCTTTTCGAGAACTCTCATTTTTTGTTACAACTTTTTAAGAAGTACCTATAAAAAAATCAGTAGAACTGTGCTGAATCAGATCAGAACACTATCTGTCCAACATTTGGTCATAATACCCAGCCAGATGTCTACCAGGACATGATTGTGGGAGTGCTCTGCAGAAACTCATACTGGGTTTCATAAACTCTAATAATGAAATCCTTCAAGTACATCCTAAGAATTTTGATATCAATTTGTAGCATTCTAATTTTCCTAAACTGTCTTCTCATATTTTTTTTTCAAACATGATTTAGGGCATTTTAAAAAGTCAGCATAATTTTGAATCTTTAAAAAAAATCATTGAGTCTTTTTTAACTAAAGGCTAATTTTTGTTTGATCTTTGCAACTTTCTCGTGAATTGCACTTGAATTTCTTGATTCGGGCTGGGTGGGCTTTAATGGCTGGTTTCATTTCATATCTCTTCCTGCAGAAATAAAACTTGGGATAGTAATGAAAAATTCATCACTATACCTTTAACTGTGCTAAAAAGAAATAAGACAAATAACATTGCACAGCACATTTGCTAAATGGCAATTATTAAATATTGTAGAACAGTTTGATCACGTCAAGGGCACTGCTAGGCAACTGAATGCCTGTTTCAAGTCTCCTGAGCTCAAAACATACATGCAACAAAGGTTGGCATGTTAATGGGACATCGTTTTGAGTGTCCTGTGCGCTATGCTTTGCTGTTGTTTCACAGGTTGTGATTAGCTTGCTTTATCCATTTCTTTTTCTACTACAAGCATAGGATGCACTCACGTCCCCACTGCAACAGGTTAATACTGGACAGGGTGATAAGAAAGCAACAATTAAAAATGTGGACAGGCAGAAGATTGCTTGCAGCTGCATGCTGCCAGCTTGACTGATATGTTACTGCTTTAAAAAATGTTATGGGGATTTTTAAAAAAACAGAATATCTTTTTTCATACAATATCTGTGGGTGGGTGGATTAAGTTGTGTTGGCCTTTATTTTGCAGACAGAATATGCAATGATGTCTTTGCAAGCACATGCTACTGTGCTTCATATACAAGTGTTGGTAATATATTTAAGGTCTTGTACCTGCACAGAGTACTAATATAAACTTGGCATGGTTGGGTTATAAAGCTTTCATGCGCACGCATACTTTATACATGTTCTAGTGTTCTGTTCATGTGCTCCAGAGTGCATCTAAAAATGCAAATACTGTGTATTCTTTTGTGCTGATTTGTGGAGCTTTAGCATGTTTGTGTATTGTTGCTGTATTGTCCATATAATTCTTGCAGCAAACCTTTTTGCAGCCAGCTTCCATCCTCATTTGCAAACAAAAAAAATCAAGGAGTTAAATTTGGCAAGGAGGCTGCAAAAGAAAAAAGGCGTGCCAAATCTACTGATTGATCTTGGGTAGCTGGTGTAACAGATTATAATCTAAATTGAATTTGCAGTGGGTGACTACGGATTTAAGTTCTCATTCTTTGCTTTAATAATTTCAAAATGTTTTAAAAATCATCTCTTTGGTTAATTTTCCTGCAAGTTGGCTAGACAGAAGGACTCACCATATAGTGTCATCCCTCATATTCTTGTGGATCTGGGATGAAAAAAACCTATTAATAAGGCTTCCTCCAAATTCCCAGTGTTTCCTATAATCAGAATTTTTGAATTGTTTTAATTTTAGTTCAGCTGGAACACAGCCAACTGTTTCAACAGAATGTTTCAAGTTGGGCTATTTTGTCCCAAACGCACCATAAAACACGTTTCATTCTTTACATTCCCGTAATAAAATTAAGTATGGAGCAGTCATCTGAATTTTCTTTCCAGTCAACTGTGGAAAAGCAATGCCTCAATAGTTGAAATGGATTTAGCGTGAAAACAACCTTAGCTAGAGATCCTCTAATAGAGGTTCCCAAATAGAGTGGTTATATTTGGTACAGTTACCTGACATTTGTACTTTTGCCTGCCAGCATTTTTATGCTGGGAAAATTTCTTTCAGCGCTTTCTTATCATGTACATGTTTGAACTTTCGATGTTTCCTCTTTTGTGGCAGCAACCTGTGCGCTCTTGCTCTTGCCCTTGCTGGAAGAGAAGTTACAGCACTCGCTGGGGGCCCACCTGCCAGAAAAAGAGGGTGCACAATAAACATTTGTACACAAGAGCTTATTGACACTGACAAACACATTTTTAAAGAATCCTTTCTGCTTATTATTTCTGACTTCTCTTCATATGTACCCAATTCTCATAAGCATAAATGTTATATTACTCACCTCTGTGCTCACGTGAATTTGCTCGATTGGGAAGTCGGGGTGATACTGCCTCACATCGACATTCCAGGTGGTCTTCTAAGGCTACAATTGCTTTATTAAAGACTGGCCTCTTGTCAACAACTTCAATTTTCTTTACCTATCAGAAGAAAGTAAGCACAACCTCTATGATACTCAGCACTGTGAATTCACCTCAATTCAGCCAGCATTGCTACTATTAAAGATTCTTGCACATTTTTAAGCTTTTTGTTGCCTTGGGATAAAGCCCGGATATAGTGTAATTAATCCTCAATCAAAACAGCATCTAAAGTTACTCCATTAGCATGGTAGTAATGGAAAATGGAAAATTGGAACATTTTACCCAAAGTACCAAATTCCTTTGCTTAGAATATCTGGATTACTTCACTAAACAAATTGTGAAAATGCACCATGAAGGACAGTGCTGGCTCCTATTCACTGCTCATGATACTTCCTCTTTGCTGATCCTGTAATAGGCTACACAGAGCTGAAAAAGACCAAGAAGTCACTGAATCCATTCTCCTTACAAGAAATCGTCATTCATTCACCAACCCTTGTCTGTCCACCTCCTGCCACCCTGGATCAAACTGCAAGCATAACAGCAGATTTGTTACAGGAAGACAAAGGAAATACTGTGGAGCAAACTGCCCTAGCTAAAGGCTGCTGTTTTTCTTAGCATTTGTTCCACATGGTTGCAGGCAAGGTCTGCTTGTACTGTATTTGCACTGCACTTGCCTAATTCTAACAGCAAAGCACTCAGTGCATGATATTACAAGTTTTTGTTTATCAGCAGGACTGTCACATTGATGGTGATTGGGGCTGAGAGGGAGTGACTGGCCCAAGGTCATCCAGCTGGCTTCTATACCTAGGACCTGGATCTCCCCATTCCTAATCCAGCACCTTAACTACACCATGTTGAATCTCTGAACTGCCCCAGCTAAAGGTAAGAGGGTTAAATTTGTAGTGTGACTGTGGACTAAAGAAATACTTTCACCAGAAGAAAAAAATGAAACTCTACTGAAAGCTGTTTTAAATGTGATATGAGGCTATGGCTTGCACAGCACTCTTAGCAGAGGCACTTTTAGTCCTACATGCCATGGAAACCCAGAAATGTAATCAGTTCAAGGACAGAAGAAGGACGATTTTAATCCCCAAACTTTGAGTCAATTGTTACTCAAAGCATGTTTTCACATAAGATAGTGCCACACGAATTCAGAAACTCAGTTTTTAACACCCTGCACCAGTCAGTCATAGTCCTCCAATGAAATGAGATCAAAGCTCACAACTCTGAAAAAGTAACTTCCTGGATTACAACACTCACTGGCAAGTTCTGGCAGCCACAAAACATACTTTTAAAACAGTGAATGTCTACAGCGTCCAAACTGTGTGGTTAATAGGGAAGCAGCCATTAATGTAATGAAGTTTTGCCAATATTTTCCTGGCACAATGGGGTGGAAAAAGTAGATGGGGACCTTGTTCCTCTGGATGGCAATCCTTGAACTGGTTTGCATGATTAATTGGTACCCATCTAAGAATAAAGAACTACAGTGAGGTTTGTGGCTATCTGGTTAAACATGTTATGCAAATGCAGACATAAAGTGTGTGAGCGTGATCTTCCCAGGAACTTAGCAGTGACCGAACTCCCGCTTGGTTATCTTTCTTAAAAAGCCACATTCTGCTATAGCTCACAGATTGCTTAGTAGACAATGTTTCCAAATAAACAATATGGGCTTTTCTATTTTCAAAGAAAGCATTTCCAGATCACATTCAGTGACTATCCAATGAACTCTTCTTTATGTTTTCCACAAAACTGTCACATCCCCATCACTCCACCCAACTTCATTCTCTTCTGCTCCATAAAATTTTATGGAGAAAGGAATTTCCTGCATAGAAATGGTATAACATTTTTCTTCCTTTGTGCATTGTTGCATGAAAAACCCAAGGAATTCTTTCTCATACAGAGGTCACACAAGGAAGTTGCATTTTTGTTTTAAATTATTTTTCTGGGAGGAAGCATAGAGATCCATGTTAGTTGGAAGTTCAACAACATCAGAAGAAGAGGTCATTTGCAAGGTATCCATTTACCACACATCTAGAGAGGATAACTTAGAGGAGCAGCTGGGAATATAATACTTGTTAGGAACACTAGCATGGTAAAGAATCATACTGTTTGTCAGCATATTCAGTTCTGCCAATTCTGCCACCTGACTACTGGATTTTATCCTTGCATTACATATTAAAGTATAGTATGTTACAGAGCACTCTTCCTTCTGCAGAAAACTTAAAATAAAGCCATTGATTTCTGTCTCTGCAAACTTTATGAACATAATAGGAGCCAGTACTGAACTTAACATGGCTTTCTTCAAAGCAGGCATTTGTAGGATTGCACTATAAATGAAATATACTTGGCAACATTTGATCCAGGCACTATGCAAGAAGCAAACTTCTGAATATTAAGATAAATAACTAAGACCTTATAAAATTAAACTTAGTTATATGCCATTGAGTCAATTCCTGGTGTATACATGACTTCCATTTCAACTTGCCTCAAGTGCCTCAAGTTTTCCAGGGACATTCCAATGATATCCCTGATCCCATCCATCTATCTTATCCATTGCCTCACTGTTCTTCTTCTTCCCTCAAACTTGCCCAGCATATTCAATGTTTATAGTCTGCCTGCATCATTTGCCCACAATATGTGAGTTTCTGCTTGCTAATCATCATCTGTAAGGAACAGTTTTTATTTCTTCCAGGACCTTTCTGCAACCTATGGCGCTCTTAGTAACTGCCTCCAGGGTCATAATTCAAATACAGCTATCTTCTTTGTGTGGCACTTTCTCAGTGTTCAACTTCCACAGCGGTACAATGTTTGACTTTCATAGCAACAGGAAAAAAATTGTTCTGATCGCTGTTGACATAAAAAATATCCTAATCCTTTATGATCTTGCCTGAGTTTGTCTTTGCCGTCGTCCTTAGGATTAATCCATTTTTCTTTACCTATTCTTCAGTCAAAAAATCCAGAACTATCTACCACATCTGTAAATCCACTAAGCATGCTTATTGACAGCATCTTTGCTTTTTTACATTTCACTTTAACTCAAATTTTTCACCTCCTATGAACTCACTCCTAATGAGCTCTTTTAACTACTGTTGTCTGCATACCTCAAATTCTTAGTTTCAATCTCCAATTTCTGTTTCCACTATCATTTCTTCCAATCCCACTATTCTTATAATGTATTGCTGTACAAGTTAAACAGATAAGGAGTCAATATACATTCATTTCCTCCACTTTTCTGAACTACTCTGTTTTTCCAAATTCAGTTTTTATAATAGCTTCATTGTAAAGTTTAGTCAAAAGAATGGTATTCTGGCATGCCTGCTAGCCTTAATATGTTCCGTTGGTATGATCTGCAGAACCAAAAACCTTGCTGTAGTCAAGAAATAAAGGTAAACATCTTTCTTAAGTTTTGCACATTCTCTGACATCAGCTTTCTTCAATAAAGATATGTACACTTACTTTTCCAATCTCTAGGTCTCACAAACATGTCCATTATTAGTTGACGGAGAGCTGTAACTAATTCTCTCTTCCCTGCACCTTTAAACAGTTCAATGGGTATTTCATCTGTACCTGATGCTTTTCTATTTGACAGTGTTCTATTGCTTTGTATCTTACTTTCTCATGAAGTTGGTTCCTGAATATATTATCTTTCTTCAAATATCTTTATCATCTCATAATTCCATTTGTAAAGAGCTTCATTAATTTTTCCAACCAATCTTTAGCCTCATTTGTCTCAATTAGATCCCTTCCATAATTATTGTTGTATATTTCTATAAGCTGGAAATTTTCCTATGATTTCTCTGATTTTCTTAAAAATATCTCTCATCTCTCTTTTCTTATTATTTTCCTCTATTTGTTGAAATCCTTGATTGACATATCTCTTCTTGTCCTTCCTCGCTTGATGCTGGAAGTTTGTGTTTAGTTGCTGTACTTCCTTTGTATTGCCCAAGGCTTTCATAATGTTTGTCTGGCTGTCAAGATAGTCCTGGAAGCCATTTGAATCCTTGACATTTTGAGAAACTTTTTTCCATGTGATTTTTCATGACTCTTATTTCTTCCCATAGCTTCTCAGTTCTCTTTGCCATAAGTTAATCATTACACTGATCTTAAATTCTAATTGTACCAGGTCATATTCTGCTGGCATGCATACTTTCTTTAATTTTCCAGGTTTAACTCATATATTTGACACAATAATTCATTACTGGTTCCTCAACATGCACCTGGAAGTTCTGCCTGACTGGATTGTACTTTCCCTTCTTCTGTTTCCTATACGTAGCCAATTTGATTGCAGAATGTTCTTCAGGTGATGCCCAGGTGTACTGTTTTAGTTTTGTTGTTTGAAACAGGTGTTGGCAAATGAACAAAGAATTATCTTTGTAAAACAATATTAGCCTATCTTCTGCATTATTTTGACCATACATTGCATCATACTGTTTTTGTTCTTTAAACTTTACCTTATTCTTTTTGAGGGTCTCATCAATTCCATCCAAACATTACTTTCTTGGTCTTCCCCTTACTCTCAGTCCTTTTAGTCTTCTTTTGTATCTTTGATATGTGAGCTAGTCCTCTTTCATTCTCTTTACCAAAGCACTTCAATATATTTTGCTTGTACTAGCGACTCACTTTCGTATTCACTATGCATTCATTAAACCTGCATTCGTTCTTGACCCTATCTCTTCTCATTTTACCACACATACTTCTTAAGAAACCTTTTCCCACTCAACTTATTTTTTTTCCTCCTGACATAATCAATATTCTCATCTCCATGTAACAAAGTTGGAAGAAGCATATTATTATACATAGGCTTTTTGCTTCTCTTGACAAAAATTCAACTCACAACAGACCATGCACAACCTACTACTTGTCTATCAGCAGCTGCAAATCTTACAAATTCTCCATTTCCTCATGTTCGGTAAACATTCTACTAATGTATACAAAATTCATCTATTTTTTACTGCTATGTGATTTGTGTCCTAGGCTTGTTTTTAAAGTTCCTTTCTCTGGATGGGTCGCCTTCCCTCATACCTGCAGAGCTTCACTGGCCCTCACCTCTGTTGTGGATTACACTTAGCTTTTCCTTCCCCTTTTGACCTTACAAGCAAGAGTAACTCTACCAGAGTTCATGCTCCTGCCAGCACTGTTTTCGGGGTCATTAGAGCTACTTAGCCATCTCATCATGTCAAAGCAATAATCCCCTGGGAGGGGTTAAAGTAGAGCTCCTGAAAAAAATAATGCCTCTACTACAAAGAAAACAAAGTAATCTGCTTGAAAATCAGACATACAATCAAAGTAGAGCAATGTGTAGATTCCCAGTTTGATAAAACAAACATATCAAGCCTTGAAATAGCATAGATGCAGATTAAACAATGCAAACCACTATTTATAAAGACAGCTGTGCAACAAAGATATGTAGGCCTAGTAGTTTGTTTCTTTTCGGCTTAGCATGTTGTACAAACACAGCCAACAATATTACTTGGTAAACCATGGTTAAACAAACCATGCCTTACCAGAGTGTGAACCCAACTGCAAAAAATCTTATGCATGTATACTCAGAAGTAAGTTCTATTGTGTCAAGGTAAAACAGTTTCACCAATAATCTAAAAAAAATATCTTTGAGACAATAGCTCTATGACAGCATTAAATTTTGCTACATTTTTGTACATTAAGAATATTATGAAATAAATAATATTACACATTTTTTCTCTAAACAATAATTATTCCAGGACAACCCTGGTGATTTTAGATCCAATTAGAGGAAGCAAAGGCCGGCAAAGAACATTATTACAGGAGTAAATATTTTGCTATAGTTTACCATGTTATGTTATATTATGTCATTTATTTACATTTATTGGCCACCCAACTCCAGTGGACATTAATAATGATGGATATATGTGTTGTGACAAAATTCAAATCTAAAACTTTTTCTTCTATATTCTACTAGAGCACTTCTACTAGAGCACTTTCTGACACACAGCTGTTCTGAAGAGAGAAGGGACTGATTTGCATGACCAGCTTGCCCCAACACATGTACAGCTCACTGACCATTTCTTGAAGGCAGCAACGTACAGTATCATTCTCTACTTGTACCCAGGCCATCAGGAAGACAACCTCCACCTATCTGCCGTTTTCCCCTTCTAGCCCTAATGACAGGAAAAATGCTAAAACTGTGGTCCGTCCTCCCTCCCTCCCTCTCTCTCTCCCTCCCTCTCAGGGGAATACATCAATCAGGGGTTCTGGTAGGCATGATCCAGATAGAATATCAGGTTCTCATTGTGGTCAAAGAGAAGAAGGAAGGGGCTAAAATCCAGAAAGGGATTTCTCAAGTTGGCTTCCTTTTTAGCTAGTTTATGCATTGGAGACAAGCAGCTTAAGGCTCCCAAAGTCTTATGGAGCTCTGCAAATGTGATGAAGAAATTCAGAAGCTGCTGCTGCAGCCTGCAACATGGTCTCACCCAATCCAGTACTTGGTTAGGTAGAAAGTGTAAAGGATCTGCCTGGCCTGGGAAACTGCTTACTTAATTAGCATCAACCCTGAGGAGCAATGCTACAGAGTTTAGTTTTCTTCAGAACTGGAGACATTTGGCCTTCATAGCATTTGCTTTACTTGTAAATAGACTTCCCTTCAGCAGGCTTTAGATCACCAGAAAGGTCATCACACAAGACAGCACTCCCATTTGCAACTCAGTATGTCTCTGGCTGCCTGTTCTTATTCATTTGAATACAATTTTTTCTCTCACTCATGCATGCATATTATTTGAGAAACATTCATAACCATTAAAGTAACATTATGATTCTTTTTGCCAAATCTGTGCCCCACATCAGGAGACAATGTAGAGGGTACAGGAGCCCAGATCTTAATCTTGTTTTGATTTTCAAAAACTGTCAGAAATGTTTATTGCACTTTATCAACTTTAATTTTTCAAAGCAGACTGAAAAACCAGGGAAGAGGGGCAGAGATATTTGTATACCTGGATATGTCGCACTCGAACCTGCGTGGGACGACATTGCATTGCTCGGGTATTGCAACAGCCTGTGCACCGTTGCACTTCCACACAGGGTGGCCACACAATAAAATTGGCATTGGTTGAATCCACCATGCTCCGGGAGATTTCAAAGACTTCAGATCGTGTCTTGCAGTCAGCAATTACTGCTGGTTCAATAGGTTCTGATCCACCTAAAAAAATCCAAGAGAAAAATTCCTGGTGAAATCAACTTTGAAACTCATGACTATGTTTCCTTATTTCACATTTTACTGCATATCTCATTTTATCCAAAAATGTCTGGGAAACTTCTGCTATGTATTTAGAAGTTGTTAGGGATCTTTGTAAATTTTCCATTGGGCAAAGGATGAAAATATTTCACCAAATATAGATCTTAGTTATTTATCAAGCATCTTACACATCCCTCCACTATAACCAAATTTATTATTACTGCTCTCTTAAAAACAAACTATTTTTAATTAGTTGCTTCAGTTGAAGGAATATGATTTTCCAGTTGCAGAATCTAAGATTTTTTAAAATGCATGTAACAGATCTCTAATCAATATTCCCATCTCTGAATTAGGAACAAAACAAATTCCAAAAATTAGGGAAACAGTTACTATTTCCAGTTAAAACTTTAAAGAAGGGCTTATTTGGTTTGGTAGAAGATAGCAATAGTTTATGCACAAAGGAACTGAAACTCAAGTATTTCTGGACTAAACATAACCCCATACTTCAGTAGTTGAAATATAATAGCCAGTATTTCTATAGCTTACCTAAACTTCGTCTTCCACGGGACAAAGGAACACGATTTTCACCAGCATATATTTTGGTGAAATTCATGTATGAACTAGATGTATCTTCATCTGCAAAAAGAGAAAATAATAATGTCATAAATTAATATATAAGTTAGCAAATTTCAGCAATTACCAGGAGGTTCACAAAATCATAAAGAAGGAAATGACTGTTCTTGTACAGCAAAACACTACTATAATTATCCTTATTAAGAAGGCCAAGAAGAACAATTAGTCAATATGATGCTAGAATAATAAACTCAGTAAACATTTTACAACCTGCAGCTCTACCTACCTTCTTAATTCTGCTCAAGATAAATTATATAAAGTAAAATATGGAAAGATTATTCTGCATAAGTATTTTGAAATGGGGAGGTGAAGTTGTGCAGATTTTTTTCCCTGTAAGAAGCAGTCATAAGTGATAATGATATAACTGGAGGCTGCAGGGAAAATGCAGTCATGCAAAGACAAGGATACTTAAAAAATGGAATTCTTTTAGTGCCCTAAAATGTATTTCTAAGCAAGGAGAAAGATAAGAATATATGTTTTGGGTTTTTGTTTTTCAGCTAGAAAATGAGACTATCATTCTGTAGTAGAAATCAAATTCTGGCAATCTGAGATTGTGGCAGTGAAACTTAAAATATGCAGTTCATATCATAACCTTTAATAGTTGCAAAGGAAAATACTTGACAATTTATTCCAAGTTCAGATAATGTGGTACTAAGCACCACAAGACCAGTTCCATGGAATTTAGTAATAAATAGCATAGCAATTTAATTTGAGGTAAATTTTAAAATATATTTCTCTATATTCTAGAAAACATATGTTTATATTTAGATGTCCTCAGATTACAGCATATTTCATACCCAATAAATCATTTTAATAATAACATTATTTATTCTTTAGGTTGCTGTCTAATAGTTGCTGTAATATTATTGTGTTAGTTGCACTGGGCATATCTTAGGGCTTTTTTAAAAAAAAAACAATTATAAATACGAATAATGCATGAATGGTAAATGATTTGAGTGATTGAAGTTGCCTTTTAACAAATCTAGCTATTTATTCATCTATTCAGTTCTGTACCTTCTCTGACTAACAGATACCCTTCAAGATCTCAAGCCCTTGCAATTTTATCCTTCCAAAGTGAAGATGTAGGTGAGTATAATCGTTCTTTCCCTCCTATTGAGGATGTATTCAATTTTAGGCAATTGGGTCTTTTTGGGGGGCGGGGTAAGAAGGCCTGCCAGCTTTCTTTATAGGCGTACTCTAACAATTTCCCATAGGAAATGCTGAACAAAGCAATTCCCATCACATCAGCCAGACCTTCCTTGGAGTCAACAAACCCCTCCAGATTCTGAAGTCAGTGGCAATATTTGAAGATAGTTCCTGCACAGTTGCAGGTTTTTCCTTTATGAACTACTTATGTTGGGAAGTAAAGCAGGGCAGATTTTAATTCTGGGGAATACTTCTGAACGTGAGAGACAAGGAACAGAAAGCTTATAGAACAAAAAGAGAGAGAATGAAGGCAAGGTTTCTACAAGCACCTGACCGATTCTTATGTTTAAGGCTACAAGAAATAAAGCTACAGGTTTTCTGCATCAGATTCTGCAGAAATCAGGCTCAAAGATATATAGTTGGGCACTGAATCTCCAATATAAGTTTTGATGCTACAATATTCTGAAAGGCTATTATTCCCAAATTCATTGCCTCTAAAATCTCCCAACTCCCAAGAGAAAGGGGAAGATGAGTCATGGGATCAAAGCGTTATCACTTATCCCTACCCTAGGACTCAACTGGATCTTCCCCATCTTCTTCCATCCCCTATTCTCTGGAATTTTATCAGGGCAGGGTGGGGGGGGCAGTGTATTTGTGCAAAGGTTAAACAGACAGAGGAAAAAATAGCAATGCTGTTGACTTAAAACAAATCTTCTATTGAAAAACAGAGTTCTCCAGTTAACCTCACCCTTCCCCCAAGGGTGTCTTTCCAGATAGAGCAGTAAAGCTACTGCTGACCAGGGCAGCGCTGCTAATTTTGGAAGGCACACCATTGTATGGCTTGTGTAGTCCGGGACAGGCGGGTGGAGAGGCCAAGCAACTTTAAGGGAAACAATAGCAGAACGCAGCTGGTGCCCTCCCTCTTTTTTTCCCTCCTCCCCTTACAGGCATTTTGAAAGGGAGCGGGAATGCTTTTGAGAACGTGCCAGTGGTCCAACTGGCATCGGAAACAAAGACAGGAAATTCTGTTCCCCCGTAGATAGTGTCTCGGCAAAGATTACAAAGCTACCAACAGACAAACACAAGAGAGAAGGCAGGGGGTGGGGAGGGGACAGGCGGGAGCAGAGGTTGGATCAGAATGGAATTTGTGAAGAAAATGTTTATAAATACATTCCAGGGCCAACCCAGTGGCCATGACGCGTGCTCACATTCCTGCACGTGCCAAAGCCTCTTCAATCTGGTCTGTGACCTCAATCCTGTAGGCAGGTATCCCCAACTCTCTCTGTAGCCAGAGAGATCCAGTCACCACACTAAAACAAGATATCAGCTCTCATTGCTCATTTTTTCCTTTTATATAGACTAAAAATTAACAGCCAAGAAACTGAATAACGAATTACTGATATCTAATTTCAAGGATGGATGATGATGAAATCCCCAGACTTCATGGCCTAATTTTTTTTCAAGCACCAGGAATCATTTCAGACTGGTTAAAAAAATAATAAAAATATTGAAAACCATTTGCAAGTAATATTTCTGCCCCTGTTGCATTATGAATTACCAAGTTAGACCTGGTTTAAGGCAAACACACACAGAATTTTCTTGGGTTAAAAGAGGTGCCTATTTTATATACCCCTGATCACAATAATTTTATAGAGAAGTCCCTCTGAATTCAATGGGACTTACTTTAGCAAGTATATTTAGAATTGCATCCATAGCTCTTTTTTAAGTCTTTGAAAGCATTTCAATTTTTCTTTTAATCTACCTTGTATGATTGGCCAATGTTATTATTTTACTGTGGGAACAGTGGTTGAAAGAACATTTGGTTGTCTAATGCCCTCTGTAAGAGTTCACAGCAAAGGCAACTATGATACTCAGGGATGTTTGGTTCATAGCTCATGCTCTTAGCTGCTATATTCCAGCAAATCACTGAAAATATGGAGGGGAAGATGACTGTAAAGAAGGGCCATCAGAAAAAAAGGAAGTGATAAGCAAGCAGAGTGGTACTAGAATTATGTGAAGAAAACCAGGACATTCATTTACACAGCCTTTTCCAACCAGAGGTTTTCCGAATGTATGGAACAACACTTCCCAGCATTGCTAATGGCACCAGATCTGGAGGGTCTCAAACTGGAAAAGGAACAATACCTCACAACAGATGAACTACTTATTCATTCATGTCTACCTACATTCCAGAATGCTTATCTTCAAGAGTAAAACTTTTTAAATAGTCCTCATGAATACTGTTGTGCTGAAGTTTCTCAGAAAAAAGGAGGCAGATGAAGATTTCAGTGATTAGGAACCACAACTTCCATGATTTGCAGAACATTTCAAGAAAGTTTGCTGTACTAGAGGAACAGTGTTAATATTCCTGTTCTGTTTAATCAAGACACCTTCAAACATTATGGAATTAGCAGCTGTGTACCGTTGACTGTGGGAGGACTGCACGCACTTTTTACAGTGATTGTGCTCCACTGATATGCATGGCAGCAACTGGGCCAGCAGCAGCTCCTCAACCATACACATAAGGCAGTGTTGTCCAAACTTGGCCACTTTAAGATGAGTGGACTTCAACTCC